AACCTGGAAGTCGAGCTATAGATAAGGTGAGGTTGTTGAAACCCTTAGTGAGTCGATTCCAGGAGAGTTGGTCGAAGTTGGTAGATTGTTTAGGAACTTAGAACTAAGAGAGTAGATTGAAAATAGGAAACTACTTAAGGCATCCTTAATAGTTGGAGATTTTACGCCAGATTTTTTTGGGCCCCAACATCCACCTCATCATCCACTATCTCACTCAATTACAAAATCTCTTCTTCCCATTAGTTTTAAGTTTTTCACAACTTTTTGTGGACCCACCATTTTATCTCCATATTTTAATTATTTCTTTATTTATTTGATTTATAAATTTATAAATGAATGAACATACCTAAATATGAAAATTAAACAAATAATTACTTAAAAATTTCATTTTCAAACTTAGTTAAAATAAACATAGTACGTCTAATTAATTAATACGATAATTATAGAATTAAAATTAAACAAATAATTGCTTAAAAATTAAAGTAAAAAAATAAATTGAGAGAAATATAAAAATAAATTAGGAGTAGATTGAAATGTGTTAAAATTTGTAAAAGATGTGATAATAATAATAATAATAATTAATAATAATAATAATAATAATAATAATAATAATAATAATAATAATAATAATAATAATAATAATAATAATAAAAAATAATAAAATAATAATAATAAAAAAAAAAAAAAAAAAAAAAAAAAAAAAAAAAAAAAAAAAAAAAAAAAAAAAAAAAAAAAAAAAAAAAAAAAAATAATAATAATAATAATAATAATAATAATAAAATAATAATAATAATAATAATAATAATAATAATAATAATAATAATAATAATAATAATAATAATAATAATAATAATAATAATAATAATAATATAATAATAATAATAATAATAATAATAATAATAATAATAATAATAATATAATAATAATAATAATAATAATAATAATAAATAATAATAATAATAATAATAATAATAATAATAATAATAATAATAATAATAATAATAATAATAATAAATAATAATAATAATAATAATAATAATAATAATAATAATAATAAAATAATAATAATAATAATAATAATAATAATAATAATAATAATAATAATAATAATAATAAAATAATAATAATAATAATAATAATAATAATAATAATAATAATAATAATAATAATAATAATAATAATAATAATAATAATAATAATAATAATAATAATAATAATATAATAATAATAATAATAATAATAATAATAATAATAATAATAATAATAATAATAATAATAATAATAATAATAATAATAATAATAATAATAATAATAATAATAATAATAATAATAATAATAATAATAATAATAATAATAATAATAATAATAATAATAATAATAATAATAATAATAATAATAATAATAATAATAATAATAATAATAATAATAATAATAATAATAATAATAATAATATAATAATAATAATAATAATAATAATAATAATAATAATAATAATAATAATAATAATAATAATAATAATAATAATAATAATAATAATAATAATAATAATAATAATAATAATAATAATAATAATAATAATATAATAATAATAATAATAATAATAATAATAATAATAATAATAATAAAAAATAATAATAATAATAATAATAATAATAAAAAAAAAAAAAAAAAAAAAAAAAAAAAAAAAAAAAAAAAAAAAAAAAAAAAAAAATAATAATAATAATAATAATAATAATAAAATAATAATAATAATAATAATAAATAATAATAATAATAATAATAATAATAATAATAATAATAAATAATAATAATAATAATAATAATAATAATAATAATAATAATAATAATAATAATAATAATAATAATAATAATAATAATAATAAATAATAATAATAATAATAATAATAATAATAATAAAATAATAATAATAATAATAATAATAATAATAATAATAATAATAATAATAATAATAATAATAATAATAATAATAATAATAATAATAATAATAAAAATAATAATAATAATAATAATAATAATAATAATAATAATAATTTTTTTAAAAAAAAAGGTATGTCGTTGCAATTGCAACGGTCGGAAAATTGGCCGTTGCCAATGGCAACAACCAATGAAATTAAATTTCAAAGTGGCTAGTAAAGCCTGCAGTTTAATTATTTATTTATTTATTTATTTATTTACTTACAAGAGCTTTGGTTTTGCAAGAGCAAACTTTCTTCAAAATCCCCCCACCCCATTTGTCAAAGTCTACCCCAAGGGGATTTCACTATTTTAAAACGTGGTGAAGATTTCCTTATTGTGGATGTCCTTAGAGAGAGAAAGATGGTTAGGATTGGGTTTCGATTGTATTGTGTGATTAGTCATTCCCGAATGGGAGATTTGTGGCGGTTTGATTGTGCGCTACTAGTCAAGAGAAGTGGATTGCGATTGCGTAGCCAATTTGGTCTATACGCCGCCCGTAGGAATTCTCATTCTCTGCGGGGCATTTAAGCAAACACTTTGCCTTCACTTCTTTCCGGGTTTTGCCCTCTCGGATCGAAGCCAGAGAAATGAAAAGGATAAGAGGCTACCTAGATCTAGCAATCTCTTGCCTAGATCTAGGATTCCAACATCATCCATGGAGTTGGGCCCCACTCCAAGAATGCTACAAAGATCATCCTCAACAACAAGACATCCATAATCAACAATCAATCAAATACCACAATATGCTCAAATCAATTCATCATCACAATAACAATCTATACCACAATCCTAGCCACTAGATTTTAGCCAAGCATAATGAAGATCTAAATCAAAGAAAGGGGTAAAAAGAGATATGATCAATGAAGAACAAAGATAGATTTTACCCAAATTGTTGTTTAGATCCACCAAATACAACTAGAGGATGAAGATCTGATTGCCAATCGCTTTGAATCTTCAATTCTTCTTGCAAAATCTAGTAAAATAAGATGTTTTCTATTGTAGATCTAATTCCTCTCTCTAAAATTTGGTAAAACTCTCTCTAAAATTTGGTAAAACTCCCTCTAAAATCTCATTGGAACCCCCTTCTAAAATCTTATTTTTGGCCTTAAATATCCTTCACTGGTTCGGCCTCCTATTCACGTGCGGCTTCACGCCGTGAGGCCGGCGTGAATAGGAATTAACTCTTTTCCACGTTGAAGCTTGCACGGCACTTGTATTCCGCATTCATGTTGAGCTTCACGCCGTGAGGCCTCCGTGAATGGGGAATAATCCTCCTTTTGTTCTGTTTCGCCTTGTGCTCCTCCTCACGCATCCCTTCACTCCGTGACGAGGGCGTGAATGGGAAATAATTCCCTTCACCTCCTCTTCACGTGCGCGACTCGTGATCCTTATGCGCGTCTTTTTCACAGCTTTGCTTCTTTTGACCTTTTTACCACGATTCCCGTCCCAATTTGCCTAAAAACATGTAAAATATAATTAGGAAGGCATTTCCATACAAAACTGTGCTTTTAAGATAATTTGCTCTTAAAACAAGACTTCTAGGTCAAAACGTGTATGTAAATCCTTAGAAAAGCTCCTAGAAACTAGCATATTTTGAGGCTTATCAAGGGGACATGATAAGAAGTGGCCGTGGACGGTTGTGGCGAGTTCATGGCCGCTGGGGAAGACGGCAGCGTCGACGCCCTCAAGTGCGCCACCTGTAACTGCCACCGCAAGGAGACGGAAACCGTTGCCACCGCCCTAGTCCACTTCGGCTACCACCCCCACCACCCCCACCCAACCGGGTATCTCCACTACCTCCCTTCGCCCCAGCACCGCCCTCTCGCGCTCCCCTCCACCTCCAGCGCGGCGGAGCTGCATACAGAGAAGAAATGATGGACGACATGGACATATCCAACCCGAACATCGACGGTGCGTCGAAGAAACGGTTTAGAACAAAGTTTCCAAGAGCAAAAGGACAAAATGTTCGAGCTGGCGGAGAAACTGGGTTGGCAGATTCAGAAGCAAGACGAGGTGGCGGTGCAGCAGCTTTGCAACGATTTGGCGTTAGAAGGCACATTTTCAAAGTCTGGATGCACAACAACAAGCACACCCTTGGTAAAAAAAATAGTTCATTACCGAAATGGTCCATCGACTATTGCGAAATTACCAATTTGGTACACAATAATTTTTCTTACCCAATTAAGTCCTCGACTTTGAAAATGCTAACAATTTTTATCCCCTCTTAAAATTTCATCCATAAGCTTGTTAAATTTAAGGACAAAAAGGTTATTTTATATATTTTATTTATTAAAGCTTTTCTTCTTCATGTCTATCCACTCCTTTAATTCAATCGTTAGTTCGGAGATACCAGAAAACCATCTCCCGTGGGCGGGATCATGATAACTCAGTCTGAACTCGTTGAGCAACTAACTCAGAGATTACCATATCCGATCTCGGCACAAGTGCCCTGCTCTTGCTATCTTCTCACCTAAACCTTTCCTCACTACATGGGTTGATGTTGCTGTGGCCATTGTTTGGGCCCTTCTATTTTGTGTTTTTGTAATATCATCATACTTGACTCTTCTCTCAAAGCATTATTGGATTTCTCTTATCATTTTATATCTCAGTGTCTCTCTTCCAATGCGTCTGAGAATTTTGCGACAGGCAAATGCAAGGAAGAGAGCTGAGTAAGGTTGTTACCTTTGTCCGTGTGAACATTTTCATCAGGCCCGCTGCAAATGCAACACTCTTACCTACTGGAACATCACTTTCTAGTTTCCATTGTACTCAGCTGGATTTCTAGAAACATGAAATAGAAGATCATTTACCAGACTCTTCTTTGGAGGATGGTATGCTTCTTACCTCTCTTTGTTGGTGACCATACACATCTTTATAAGTAATAACTATTAAGCAGGAGGTAGCTACCTAATTCTGTCGAATCTACTTACAACATAAATATGTTAATAATCCCAGATAGATAGTTCCTAAATAAATAATTAACAAAAAAAAAATGTCATCCTTTCTAGACCTCTTGCTTCTTACAGGTGTGACGCATTTCTGCTCACCACCTTTCATTCTGGACATGATTTTCTTGTATTCTCTTGATCTTAGTATACTGCCTCCATAATCTTCATTCAGAAATCTCATGTCTTCAAAGAGATGCCAAGTTAGGAAGAATGTCCCTCCGGAAATCTTTCATTCGTCTCCCCCTTCTCAGCACGATTCCACAATCCTTATTGTTCGTAACATTCTTCACTTCAAAGGGCTTCGAGGACACACAAGAGTCGTCGTCGTCTACATTGCATTCGGGCAGCTTCAGCACCATCGACTCGAAAGTGTCACACCAATACTCAGGACGCGTCCCGATGCTCGAACACTAAAGGATTGGATAGACATGAAGAACAAAAACATTAATAAATAAAATATATGAAATTACCTTTTTGTCCTTAAATTTAAAAGCTTATGAATGGAATTTTAACGGAGGACCAAAATGGTTAACATTTTCAAAGCCGAGAACTTAATTAGGTAAGAAAAGATTGTCGATGATCAAATTGGTAATTTCGCAATAGTCGAGGGATAATTTTAGTAATAAACTTGTAAAAAAATCTTAAAATTTCCACAACAAAAAAAAAAAAAAAAAACAAGGAGAAAATGATGAACACCTTGACAATTAATCTCGGGCATTCCATGATTATCACATCATAGTATTGGGGTGGTGCGGAAATGAGATAAAAATATGTGATTTTTCTCAGGAATTTAGTGTGGTGAAAATTATTAGATTAGGCAAAAAACTAGGATTTTTTTTCTTGACCTAATGCGAGATTTGAGGCGACGGTACTCTCGTTGGACTGGTGAAACTCTGGCCATTGCGAGCACTGAAGGCAGCCGGAATTCTCTACGATTCCACAAATGTGGGAATTCCCAGAACCAAGATCGACGATCCTCGGGCCGAGGTAGATTCTCTTGTACACTATCCCGGTTCGGTTTACTGAAAATCTCCAGCACACCATGGCAGAAACCGATGAAGAAAAAGAACCGGGCAGTATCCGAACACTCCCCACTGGAAAGCTAGTGCAATTGATGGACGCAGAACCCAGCGGCCGAGAAGAATCCCGCTTCGGAGATTGCGACTGTGGAATTTCAACGCCTAGGTATAAAAAGATGACTGAAGACATGAAAAGACCACATTGCCCCTGCTTAATCGGACCTCTCATCGGCTGAACGACAGAAGACGGCCAGAATGGTTTATTTGACTAAAAATAATTGATTTCAGGAACTAAATCAATGAATAAGGGATTGAATGTCTACATTGACAGTTCACCAACAATTGAGATACCAAATCGTTGATTTTCTCTAAGATTTTTTGTTTCAAATTTGGGATAATTTAGGAAATTAGATAATGAAATAACATTTTGGACCATATCTCAAAACAACCATATGATAAAAGTAAATAAATGAATTAATTCCACTAGAGGTCTCTTGTCTTTGGTGGCAATACCAAATTTAGTCCCAGACTATCATTTTTGCCATTTAACATCCTAGACTATTACTTTTTGGACACTTTTAGTCCTTTTTATGATTTTTTTTCTATTTTTAGTAAGGGCATTTATTCTCTTTATATTTTTCTTTTGTTATTTTTTCAATTTCAACCAGTTTAATTGGTTTAAGACTTTACTAAAAATCGGTTAAAAATATGGTTACTAAAAATCAGAGATTACCTAAAGTTTTAAACCAATTAAACCGATTGAAATCGAAAAAAATAACAAAAAAAATATGAAGAGACTAAAACTCCTTACTAAAAATAGAAAAATCATGAGAATGTTTAAAAGTGTCCAAGAAATAATAGTCTGGGATGTTAAATGATAAAAACGATAGTTTGTGACTAAATTTGAAATTGCCACTAAAGACAAGGGACATTTGGTGGAATTAACCCTAAATAAATAAATAATGCTCAATGGTCCAAAAGTTTGACCAAAAAAAAAAAAAAAAAAATACTTCGAAGACTAAAATTTGTAGATATTAAAATTGAGAACTAAAAGTGACAAAATCAAAAACTAAAAATGGTATTAACTCTTTCCTTCATTTACACAAATGTTATCTTAAGAACTTGGTATTCCATGCTCTTCCTTTTATCTGCCCCATTGAACTCAGTGGAAGAAAATTTAAAGAATTAGCTGCAATTTCTGAAAATGATGTTTACAAGAAATAAATAAATAAATAAAATACAATGTAATAGAGCTAGTAGCATTCAAAAATAAATAAATAAATAAATAAAATAACAAAAAAAAAAAAAAAAACATAGAAAGTTGTGGGAAAGGATGACAAACATCACCTGATGCTTCTCACTGTGTTGTCTGATCTCATCTGCTTCCACCCTGATAGGTAAAATACTGCACTGAGTGTGGGGATTATGCCTGGGCAGATCCCTTGTGCGTACTAACATTTGGTTATGTGTGCTAAGTCATTCAGTCACCGTGATTTACATCTTTCCAAATTGCTCTGTTGGGCCAGAGTGTGGGGGCCCTTGGGTTTCGGATTCATATTTTTCGGAGAAGAAAATACTGCACTAAACTGCAATTTTCAATGGGAGAAAAATCAGCAACTCAAGATTGAGGAATACATCCATTTATCTATTTTCATTTCCCCATCTCAACTATTTCATCTTCCCAGCACCAGATGGTGATACTTTCCATACAAATTAATCAGTTTTAGTCATAAAACTTTGGTTTTTGTTTTTGGGGCAATCTATAATTTCTGCTTTAACAACAAAATCTAGAAAAGGCTATGCTGAACATAGAAATATGATGAAAATATGAGAGATAAGAATGTGGCACTTCATTTTTCAAGATCGTTGGTTAGAGGCCGGTGAAGGGCCAAGTCCAGCACCAGGTCGCTAGGGCCAGCACCCTGTCTCTCGAAAATGTGGCAGTCTATAAGGAAATAAAGTTACACCTTTGCTACGAACTATAACAAAGATGATGACTAGAACCTAGAAGTGAGATGCAAATGAGAGAATTGAACACTACTCACCAGTCATGGCTTGGATATAGGGGCCATTAATCTTGATAAATGGCACATGTTGTATCTTGTACCAATCTTCTCCCTCCTCCTTCCTGCACCTTACCTCCAACAAAGGGGATCCCCAGATCGACAAAAACCGGAGCTGTGTAAGAGATTTCATCGAGTCGGGAAAAGAATGTAGATTTTCACAGTACCACAGCTCCAATTCTCGAAGGGACGAGAGGTCAGCAATCCAGTCAGGCAGTGCATTCAGCTTAGGACAACTCCACAAGTGTAACGTCTGGAGAGATTTAAGGCGTTGCACGACCACTGGCAACGTTGTTAGCTCTTCGCAATCTGAGAGGGACAAGAATTGAAGAGAGCTTAAGCCTATCATTTCGGTTTCCAGGCACAGGCTAGGACACCCGCGAATTGACAAGGACTTGAGAGATTGTAGTCCACGAGAATCCAGCAAAGAACCGAGATTCCCACAGTTACTGATACTGAGTGATTGGAGAGAAGAAGAACAACACCCCTTTGGCTCACTCGAAAGCCATTGAAGCTTTGGGCAGCTTTGAATTTCGATAGAGGAGAGATGCTTATTGTTTCTCAGCAGCCCTTGTGGTAAGTATTCGAGCTCCGGGCATTCACTTATGATGAGATGAGAAAGCGTGGCGATCTTGGTTGCAGCTACTTCTAGTAATTTGCTACTGAAACCGTGCAGTTCTAAAGAATCGACGGATGGAAGATTAGGCAAGCAGTTCAAATTGGGGCAAGCACAGCATGTAAGCTTCTTCAGGTTACAAAGCATAGCGGGATCTTCCTGGACCGATGACCACCCGAGTAAATTAGGCATATTCTTGAGTGTAAGTTGCTTCAACGACGCAAAATGGATAGCCCCGTCTTCTTCACCTGCATTGTTAGAGAAATACATTGCAGCATCCATTCCATCGACCGTGAGAGCTTCGAGGAGAGGTAACCTCCCGAGCGGAGGGAGCTGGCTGCACCTGTGGCACTTGATTAGCGAGAGCTCCACGATGTTAACGAGATAAGGACTCATCAGCCATCGAGGGAAATTCACACCAGCATAGCCTTGAATGTGTAACTTCTTCAGGCTGGAATTCGGTTGCAGGGCTTCAATAACCCGCTCCACATTTTCTCTCGTTTTCATTTCATCGCCTTGCCCCCACACTAGCTGAAGGAACAGAAGGTTCCTCTTTTCTTTCAAGTTAGCATTCTTGGCACACGTTTCGTGTGCCAAATTCTCGAGGCTCTTGATCATTAGCTCTCCCCCGATGTCGAGGCTCTGCAACTCTGAGATATCGGTTGCAGCTTCTTTCCTAACTATGTAGATGGGCAAAGTCTGGAGGGATTTCATTTTCCCAATACCACGCGGGAGCTTGGTTAATTGCTCACAACCGTATATATCGAGGTGTTTAAGATTAACCAAGTTCCTCAGGTCCTCGGGAAGCTCCACGAGACGGATGCAATGATTAAGTATTAACGTTTCAAGATTTAGAAGCCCACAGAGAGAATCTGGCAAGGCTTTCAACATTGTATGTGAGAGGTTGAGGTAACGCAAATGCAGCAAAGTAGCAATGGATTTGGAGATTTTCTTAACGCGAGTGCCACTGAAATCCAAAGCACGAACGGATTTCAAACTCAAGAAGAAGCTCTTCGTGACCATGCTGAGCTTACGCCATCCATTCAGGAGAAGAAACGAGCGGAGTTTCTTAGCATTCTTCAAGGCACGAAGAGCTTTAGGAGCCGTTTCGTTGCAAAGAAGTGATAAATGGCGTGTGCCCGTGGGAACATCAACCTCCTTCCCAATCTCGATAGTCAAGCAGTCGATGCCTGCAACGGTCTTGGCAAGATCGTGGATAAGATCGTGCATTTGGCACTCGACTATGTTCCCCTCACAATCTCGTGTCACGTTTTGAAAGAACGACCTCCACAACAGCTCGTTAAAGTACTCGTTACCAGTTTCAGACGATGGAATGAATCCTTCAGCAATCCATAGGTTTATTAGGATGGGCTTCTTTATCCGGTAGCCCTTGGGAAAGATAGAGCAATATGCAAAACATTGTTTTAAATTTGGTGGCAAATGCTCATAGCCTAATCTTAGAGCCGGGAGGATACCCTTTGCATCCCCCATAAGGCTCCACATCTCACAATCTCGAACAAACAGCCACTGTGATTTCGTGTTTTTCACACACATTAAGCTCCCGAGGGCCTTGGCAGCCAAAGGCACACCCCGGCATTTCTTGGCTATCTGTCTCCCTACTTGTTCGAGACCCGAGGATTCACCTTGTTTGCTATTCTTATATGCCCTTTCTTGAAACAAAGACCAACAATCATCATCCGAGAGGCCCTCGAGATGGTACGGGGGGGCTATTCCCATCAGCTGTGCAACCTTCTCGTAACGAGTAGTTATCAAGATCTTACTCCCCTCCACCCCGTTTCGAATCAAGTTCTTCAACCTCTCGTACTTCTCGTGATCATCATCATCCAAAACATCATCCAGTACTAGCAAAACCCTCTTCCCTATGATCAACTCCTGCACCCGACGCTGAATTGCCTCCATCTCCACAAGATTACACCCACTACCCGTATCCGATTCCACAATCGCCTTCATAAGCCTCTTCACATCGAACCCCTCGGTCACACAAACCCAAATTCTCCTATCGAAATACCTCTCAACTTCCGGGTTATGGTATGCCAATTTCGCCACCGTTGTCTTCCCAATTCCCGCTATCCCCACAATGCTAATCACAGAAACCCCTTTCCCCTGCTGGGGTTCTGTAAGGAGGAGCTTAACAATGTTTTTCTCATCTCCATCTCTACCGAAAACCTTAGATTCGAGTAAATAAGAGTCTGATTCTAGCCTCTTAAAGCCCTCACTCTTATACACTGGATTGTGATCTCTCAAATGGAATTTCAACCTCTCATTAGCTACCAATTCTAACCTATCCCCAATTTCCTTGAGATTGAGTTTCATCTTATAGCAAACATAAAGTAAATTAGTGTTGAAAATCAGAGAGTTTGCAGCCTGCAAGAAACAGCAACAAAAATCCCAATCATGGGAAATAGAATTCACCTGGTTTCTGAGAAGCTCAGTTAGGTACTCATCAACCAAATCATCAGCATCATAGACGATATCTTTGAGCTTCAAGAGCCAATTCTTGAGGGCATTATCTCTAAGCTGCCTCTCTTCAGCGTCTTGAAGCACTGCTTGGATGGTGGATAAGACACTCTGCAGCTTCTCCATCTCCTTCCTTGTTGCTCCCAGAGGCCCCCCATGTTGCTTTAGAACCCGAGAAGCTATCTTCTCAAACAGCACTTCAAGAATAGCAGAGATCACAGCTTCTGCCATTAATGGGTTTCTTGGGAAACAAAAAAAGATCAGAACTTTGAGGGAAATATCACTCAGAATCCCAGCCAGAAGCTGTGTTGTTAAAGAACACGAATTCTAATTCATACTTGAAATGATCAAAAGGATAACGGGAATACTCCTATCTGCTAAAACATGACTTTCGTAACTCAATCAAGAACCTTCATGGAAACGGATGATTAGTTTGGGAAGCAACAACTAGGAAATTAGTCTGCAATGCTCCAGTGTACTGTGTACAAATATATGACAGGTCCCATTTTCGTTTGTAAAAATTATATTTTTGGTCCTTTAATTATATCATGAGACAAATTTAGTCATTAGTTATATATTTTTTTAATGACTATTTCTATCACCAGTTTATCATTTAATAAAATTATTGATTTAGTCATTTAAAGATTAAAATCGTCATTCCATACATAATTTAAAAATTAAAAATTATCACGTATATAATTTAGGACTAAATCATTATCACAGGATAAAAAATGTAATTTTCCCTTCATTTATTTATTACGGAGTATATAATCACAAGAGGTCAATTCATACGCGTATTGGTTGACGAATGGGGGCGGGCGTGTAATAAGTCAACCCACAAAATGCCATGAAGGCATGAAGTGTTTGTATTTACATGATAGAAAGTGTGAGACCAATGCTTGCTGTAAAAAAAAAAAATGTTAAATAATCTCATCTGACGATTTTAAATTAAGTTGGAAAACTTTTGTGATAATTTTATAATTATTGTTAACTTCAAACGTGTATTATGCAAAATTTCAGTGTATCTAATATATGTGATAATTCGGTAGCATTTTAATATATTTGTGGATATACTCAACCTTTGCTCAGTGTGTGTGTATGTGTATATATATATATATATATATATATATATATATATATATATTATTTTTATATTTGATAGGGATTATCTCCAATCACCCCGTACCGTATACATGATCGGTAACAAGGCTATCCACCAAATCGAGCCGTATCCAAGCATGGCCGACCTCTTTGCACGACTGACCCGACCTAGACGCAGGGCCGAACATAGCTCCACTACTCTATAGATCCTGGTTTTCGTTATTTCACCCTAATTATATCAGGTTGAGACCAACCATCCGACATCGGATACTTAAAGCCTTACACATAGTTTTTTCAGCCAAATTCAATAGTTGTGAGACAGAGAGAGTTAGGAATCTCAATGCACGTGGAGGGACCGGTGAGGCCTCTGACCTTCCCATGTGCATGCATTCCACGTGCCACACATGTTGAGAGACCAGCATACGCCTCTAGCGCCTTTTATAAATACTGCATTAAATGCGAGAAATGAGACTTTTAGACATTTTCTACTTACTGCTATATAGCTCGAAATCCTATGACCTCGCGTATTTTCCAAGCTCAATACTTAAACCAACAAATTGACTAGAGTAGGACCCGCATCTGATTCAACTTCAATACTTGTATGTATTCATAGAAACTACCGTATTTATCACATCAATACGGTTAATTATTCTAGATAAACAAATAAAATCACAAATAAAATTAACTTATATTTTTCAAAAAAACATTCTCATATAACTTTAATTCATATGTTTTAAGGAAGCATTACTCCCATATGATCTTAATTCATTATAAGTAAATATTTATGTACATCTTATGTGTGATTTAAGACTATTACAAAAAATCAAAATTTTATATGATTTACAGACTATTACAAAACATCAATATTTCATGTAATGGGATTAATTTCTCATAATATGTAAAATTGTGGTTCAAAAACTGTGCAAATACTAAAAATACACCTCCCAAATTACTAAGTGCATTCATTTTTCAACTGTACTTTTACATATGTATCCCCTGTGCCTGTGCATTTTCTATATTACAATTACAATTACATCAAACAAGAATGTAACATAACAAGAATGTAACTATGTTCTTCCTAGGAGTTTTAGGCCTTCTGTCTTGAGCAGAGATTTAACGTAAAAACCAAACCTTTCCCACTGCGACGTTGTGGATCCATAAAATTGTACATTTACCGATTTCTTCAGTCCTCCTCGGATGAATTCCACCTCCCTAGAAATGTCGAAGGCAGCGCACTCTGGGCTATCGAGCAGGGGTAGCGTCACCAAGCCGCTCGACTCCAGGCTTCTGATCCATCCCCGCAAAAGAAAGTTCACGACCTAGTGCACACAAAGCAAGTTTAGAAGCCTCGTTCCCGTTTATAGTGAAAACAAATGAACCAACTGAGAATGTTTTCGTAATGTACCTCTGGGACTTCGTCGTGGGGGCAGTGACCTGCGGGGCTAATCTCGTAATATGGAGCCTCGGGCATTCGCCTCTTGACCCGAAAGCCCCAATAAGGCGTCACCCACGGATCTTCCTTCCCGTAAACGAGGCATATGGGTACATTGTTTTCTTGACACCTATATATGGAAAAAGCTAACAAGCTAAGTAAAATGTCTTAGTAATAGTATGGACAGCAACGTAATATTTGCGCTACCCACCCCGAGAGAGCCTCTTTGAACGACAATTGACTCCCGGGAGCAAACATTATCGAGGCTAAGGATGCAGCTGCAGCGGGATGCTTTGTTGTCTCGATTATATGAGAGAACACTTCATCCACATTTATCGAGTGATCTGCATAGACCTGTTTTAGAACCTCTGCAATGCTTTCGGGATCACTGATTTTCTGCCATCTAAAAGAAACGGTAGAAAAGTAGCCCAAGTCAATCCCGGAATCAAGAGAGCAAGAACTTCGCCAAGTCTATGTAAATCGTTTTGGTACACTACGCGAAGGTAAACATTCAAATTTCAATCGTTTAGAACTTACAAAAGCTTCACGATATTTCTAACCGTCGTTGGAAGAGGAAACGTCCCCGCCCAAGGAAGCATTCTTGATAATCTCGGAGATTTAATAGGATTAGGAAGAAAAGTCCAAAAAGGCGTTGCATTTAGCAACGTAACGCCTTTCACCAATTGAGGGTGGCGTGCTGCAAGGGAGAGTGCAACAAACCCGCCAAGCGAGTTTCCCACAATATAAACCGGTTCTTTAATAACCTGCACCATTAAAACCCAAGTTACTAGTTTCTCTACTATATTTCCTATCTAATTAGTTTTTCTTCGAAGCCGAAATGTAAAAAAGAGTTGTAACTTATTGAGTCTAGTACCTCTTCAATAAAGTAGCGAACTTGGTCTCTCCATAGGTCCATAGAAAAAACGAGTTCTTTCGCCCAAGGTTGAGCTTCATCTCCAAAACCCCAGATAAGATCTTCTCCAACGCCATTGAACTGCGAGGTCAGGTCTTTGCTCGGGAGCGACCTACCCTGCCCTAAAAAGTCCAACGCCCATACCCTAAAATCAGAGCCGAGATCCTTTAGTTGTTTTTTGTAATGAAACGAACCAACACCAAAACCCGGGAGAAAGAGCACTGGCGGCGAATTCACATTCCCAGACCCTGATTTCTCGTAATGAACATTCAGTTCCGGCTTCCATTCCCAGAAAGAACTGTCAATTGGAGCTCCACAATCCCCATTAGATTCATCATCCGGTAAACTAGGAACAAAAACCTTAGGCACCACCGCTTCCCCAGAATCACTCACAGTACCATCAACTACATATGAATCATAGTTTCCACTCAAGAGACCCGAACTAGATTCTTTAAGAGCACTGGCAATTGGATAACCTCGACTTCTCCGAATTAGTTTCTTTGACCTAAAATTACCCAAACCTGAGTGTCTCAAATCGCCAGATCGAATAACAGCAGCACAACACCAACTTCTACCTGGTCGTGTGGGAATCCTTAACTGAGTTAAACTCGGAGTTCTGTCAATCAATTCCCTCCTAACATTTACAACATAACAGCATGCCCCAGAATAACAGGAAACCATTTCCATCATTGATATCGCCGTTCTGAATCACACAATTAGGATAAACAATTCAGCAAAAACCTATAGCCTACACTTCCACTTTCCTATAACTTTACCAAACAAAAAAACACTGTGTAATTGTGTGTTCAACACCTCCAAGAATCAGCATAAACTGACACTATATAGTGATCAAAAGACAGAATCTTGGAAACTAAAATCACACAAAAACTACTAACAAACCATATATCATTAAAAAAAAAAGAAGTGAAAAACATGAGTAGAATCACACAATTAGGATAAACAATTCAGCAAAAACCTATAGCCTACACTTTCCTAATTCCTATAACTTAACCAAACAAAAAACAGTGTGTAATTGTGTGTTCAACACCTCCAAGAATCAGCATAAACTGACACTATATAGTGATCAAAAGACAGAATCTTGGAAACTAAAATCACACAAAAGCTACTAACAAACCATATATCATTAAAAAAAGAAGTGAAAAACATTAGTGTTACCTTTAATCAGCTGAGAAAGATTTGAGTAATTAGCAAGACATCCAAGATTCTAAGAGAAAGGGGGTAGAAAGATTCGGGTTTGCTTTTCTGGGTACGTGTGTACATAGGATTAGATTCCAGATGAAGAAATATGAAGTTGCTTACAGGAAGGGGGTTCCTTTAAGAGCCAGGGAAAAGTTCAACAAACATCGGGAAGGTTTATTTGTCAGTTTGTTTCGCTAATTCGCTGTCTATGTTCCGTCTATTTGGCAAGAGAAAAAGGAGTACACGCAATCCATGTGTTTATATAAGTTGGAACCCGATTTTTTTTTTTTTAGTAGAAAAACAAAAGTTAAAATTCCACCTTGGTCGGTTGGATAATGACATATTCAGTCTTTTGTTATAATACTGATTTTTTTAAAAAAATATTTTCATGAAGAAAGTTAGAAAATGATATTTTTTTTATTTGAATGAAAGTTAAAAAGTTATACTTTAGTTTATTTTTAAAAATATTAACAAAAATTTTTATTTGTTATAAAATATAAATTACTTTAATGATGATAATAATAATAATAATTATTATTATTATTATTATTATTATTTATATTAAAAATAAAATTATAAATTAAAGTTTATAATAGTAATAAAGATTAATAATTATTATAATAAAAATTTTAAATAAATTATTTTTTACTTGTAAATAATAATAATAATAATAATAATAATTATTATTATTATTATTATTATTATTATTATTATTATTATTATTATTATTAACTAAAGAAATTGAAAAATTACTTTAAATAAAAATTGTGAGTCAGATCAAATCAAGATTTTTATTTTTTTGGTTCAATACGACCTTACTCATATTTAATCAAATATTAATAAATGTAATAATTCTGAATAAAGAAATTGAAGAAAAAAAAATTTTAATTTTTTTTTTTTGAGTTGTGCGTTAGGTTAACATTATTATTGTTTGGTCATGCCCAATCAATTCAGTCCATACTTGTTAGACAGAATATAAGGCAAATTATGTTGTGAATCTGTATGCACCATGGTGCATACAGATGCAAAAACGACGTCGTTTTGCATCAAAACGGCATCCTACTTAAAAAAAAAAAAAAATCAGTTTCGATTCCCAGCAACAACATTTGATATTCATTTTTTAATTCATTAATTCTGGATTTTTAGTTATGAAATTCTGAATGTATAGTTATGCAATTCTGGATGTGTAGTTATGAAGTTATGAATGTGTAGTTATGCAATTCTGGATTTACAGTTATGAAGTTATGGATGTGTAGTTATGCAATTTTGGATGTATAGTTATGAAGTTATGGATATGTAGTTATGCAATTCTGGATTTATAGTTATGAAATTATGGATGTATAGTTATGTAATTCTGGATGTATAGTTATGAAATTATGGATGTATAGTTATGTAATTCTGGATGTATAGTTATGAAATTATGAATGTGATGAAATTATGGATGTGTAGTTATGTAATTCTGAATTTTTATTTTTTTTTAAGTTAGACGTCAAAACGACGGCGTTTTTGCATCCGGATGCACCATGCACGGTGCATACGGATGCACAGCATAACGGTCCAGAATATAATAGTATGAAAATATTATTTTCGAAAATAAAATAACAAGCGAGCACAAGAACAAAAAGATATGTCTAGTTCAAGATTTGTAAGTTTGAGTCGTATGATACCCACATTAATCTTATTTTTAAAATTTTATTTGCTACCTCCCTTTGGCGTTAGAAACGTTGTAGCCTAACACTACTGAAAATTATGAAATTTCCGACCATCTGAAAGTGATCTTAAACAAACTTCGACTTATGGTTTGAGTACTCAAACAATTGGTTGAAACACATAAATTGAGGAGGAAAAATTGAGGGGGAAGATGAGCAAGAGATAAAGGCTCCAAATACGTTGATTTGCACCCACCTACGTACAAGAGAGAGCCTTCATACTATATAATTTATAATTCAAATTCTTTTTAGAAGGGTCTTGTATATATAGTGGTGCAAATGCACTACCCAGTGGGACAAAGACAACTTACAAACCTTTCCAACTCAAATGGGTCTATTTGATAATCAATTTTTCATTCACCCATTATCCGTTTTGAGGGTATGTACAATTTATCGATCCCTTCGTCTCACTACGAAGAACCTGACTCCACTTTGACCCGACCTAAATCGGTAGTGGACTCCACATATATTTGTACCACAAAATCTTCACTTAAAATGACATTTTATGCTATTTTTTCAACAATATTTTTAACCGACTATTAATAATAAATGTAATAAGTTTAAATTGAAGAAAAAGCTTAAACCTTTTTTAATCTTTTTGGATATGTGTTAGGCCAAGATTTTTATTGTTTGACCTAACCTAACCAGGCTCATAAATTATATAACATTTATTATAGAAACTATATAAGATTAAAAACTATATGAAAAATAATTTTTATAAATTAAATTAAAAATAGGGAAAATGACACTTTTTCCCCCAGTGTTATATGCTTATAGCACTTTCCCCCTGAGTTATTCATGCATTCACATTTGTCCCCTCAATTATTATAGAAGTGGCGGTTTTTCCCCCTGATAATATTAAATGGACATTTCTACGCTTAAAACAAATATTTTATTTATTTCTCTTCTTCACCAAATTATTGCTTATACGTAGGGATGACCACGGTTCGGTTCGAACTGAACCAAACACTATAGCAATCAAATTAAAAAATTTCGGTTATGATTCATAACATAACCCAATATTTGGGTTTCCGTTTATTAAAATCGTGAACTGGAAAAAAATGGATCATAAACCGTGAACCGGAGGTTCAAATCGGAACAACTACTAGCAATAGCTTAAATTAGAATTATAATATTTGCAAATAGTGCATGTTTTTTTCCGCATTTATATTGACTCTCACATATAAGTATATATAATCGCGATTTGAGTTTTATTTTAAACCGTCGGTTCACGATTTTGGATCCAATTTGAACGGTTGGTTCAAACTTTCTTTTAAAATTTTATTTTTTTTATTTTTAAAATATTCTAAATTTAACACTTAATGTATTTTATTTTTTCAAATCGTGGTTATAATTTGTTGGAGAAGAAAAATAAATGAAATATTTATTTTAAGGGTAAATATGTCCATTTAATATATCAGGGGGAAAAACTGCCACTTAAATAATTTAGGGGGAAAAAGTGCTATAAGTATATAACAAAGGGGGAAAAAGTGCCATTTTCCCTTAAAAATAATTAAAAATCTCAAGTTGCCTTATGCCCGACCCATGAGAAGCACGAGGCCCATGCCTAGAACTGGTCCGAGTTTAGCACCAACAATAGTTATGCTGTGCAACCGAATGCACCATGCGCATGGTGCATACGATGCAAAACGACGTCGTTTTGACTAAAAACGCGCGTCCCACTTAAAAAAAAAATTCAGGTTCGGTTCTCGACAATAGCATTATTGTGGATATATAGTTATGAATTTCTGGATATATAGTTATGAATTTATGAATATTTAGTTCATTCATTGTGGATATTTAATTCATTCATTGTAGATATTTACTTCATTCATTCACTGTGGATATATAGTTATGAATTTCTGGATATTTAGTTCATTCATTGTGGATATTTAGTTCAATCATTGTGGATATTTAGTTCATTCATTGTGGATTTTTACTTCATTCATTCACTGTGAATATATAGTTATAGATTTTTACTTCATTCATTCACTGTGGATATATAGTTATGAATTTGTGGATATATAGTTATGAATTTATGGATATATAGTTATGAATTTATGGATATATAAAAATGCTATTGCCGGGAATTGAACCTAATTTCTTCTTTAAGTGGGACGCGCGTTTTTTAACCAAAACGACATCGAATGCACCATGCGCATGGTGCATTCGGTTGCACAGCATAATTTACGTAGCACCAATCATGTATTGACAGGACTAGCCCTATCCCCCTCTAAGGATGCCCATGTCCAGCCTGAGCTTGAATTACCATGAGCCTAGCCTAGATCCGAGGTGTGGCCACCTTTAGCTGTTAGCAATTAACTGAATTAGATTTCAAAAGTTATTAATAGGCTTATGGGTGAAAAGTTTAAATTTGTATACTTTGTGATAATTATATTCAATATAATAAAATTTGATAATTTAATATTAAATTCTTTTGTTTTGTGTGTGTATGATTTGGATCAAATAAGAATCCGAGCGTGAGAGAACTAGGAACCAATCAGAGTCATCTATTTGAAAATATCTAACATTTCATAGTAGGGAGAGAGAGAAAAAAATGTGATGATATTTTCGTAAATAACTTGAACTTGCAGCGCAAGTAATAACGCTATGTAGTACACTTAGCAACACCTTAGAGTGCATCTTGTGATACGTATAGGTGTAGTGAAATTGTCTACCTTACCCGTTTATGAATTTTTTATGGCTTAGCTTTTTTAATTTGGTTTAGAAATTCACTTTACAGGGCATTTGGTTGGAGGGATTTTAAATTCCCTTCCCACTTAATTCCCACCTAATTCCAAAGGCCATTAAATTCCATAGTTTGGTTGGAGGGAATTGCAATTCCCCCATTTTCATGGAATTAAAATCCCATGTCCCCCTGGTATTTTAATTCCTAGGGAAAAAAGATAGTGATGAGTCAAAATTACCCCTTCCTTTTTTAACCTAAAATTACTGTCTAACAACAATAATTGACATTTTTTACTTTATACTACTTATTCCCTTTCAATTCCTATGTATACCAAACATTGGAATTGAAATTCCCAGTAATTTTATTCCTATCAACCAAACACTGGAATTTAAATTCACACTTTATTCCCAGTAATTCAACTCCCATAGAATTACAATTCCTTTCCCACATAATCCCCCCCCCCCCCCCCCCCTCCAACCAAACGCCCTGTTAAAGTTTAGTAGTTATTGTTTGCTTTTAAAGTACACCTAGCAACAATATAAAGTACACCTAACAAAAATAGGAATAAGGTTCAAATTGGCCACTGAACGTAACCTGAAAATGCAATTAGGCCACTGAACGAACAAAAAGTGCAATTAGGCCACTGAACACTTCAAAAACGTGCAATTAGGCCACTGAACTCTCCAAACGTATGCAATTTCACCGGATAGCAGGTTACCATCAATTTTAGCAGGTTACCTGCTTACGTGGCAGCTGAGTTGGCATTTTAATAATTTTTAATAATTAATTTTAATAATAAATTTTATAAAAAAATTGAAAA